CCCCCCCCCGCGCCAAGATGGCGCCGCCCACGCCGCTGCTCGCGGGTGCGTCGGACCGGGGTGGTCTGGGTCCGCCGGTACCCACCGCCCGTCCCCTCCGCAGGGAGCGCTGCCGCGGCGTGGCCGAGCTCGGCCCTGGCGCCCTTGGCGGTGCCGCTCCCGGGGCCGGGCAGGGCTCGCCGGGCCGTCTCCGGGGGTGCCGCCGCTCAGCCCGGCACCCCGCGGGAGCTCCCGGGGCCGCGTGTCCGGGGTTCGCCCTTCGGGCGCGGGGGGGTTCTCTTGCGGTTCCCGGGGGGCGTTCGCGGGACTCGGTCGGTGCGAGGGCTCTTAAGAGCGCTCCTTCTTCTGAGCATCTCCCTGTTCAGCCGTCCCTGACAGCAGGGACATGTATTTTCCTTCCCTGTGTTTCTAAGCCTTAAAAACCGTATTTGCCTTCGCGTGGGTCGGGGGGCTGCAGCTGCTGCGGGTGGGTTTTGGGCTGCTCGGTGCTGTCTGTAACCTGTTGTAAATCTGGATCTCAGTGGGTGCCCTGATGGCAGAGCTGGAGAACAGGCTGCAGGCAGGGGTGTGCAGCTTGTGGGTTGTATTTAGGGTGTGTTAAAAGGTCCCTTTGGTGTCTGTCAGGGCCTGAACCCCAGGAAATTGCATTCAGACATGAGAAAAACTGCTTTGCTGCGGGGGGGGCATGAGCTGCCCAGGGCTCTGGGTGCCCATCCCGGCAGCTGGGCTGGGGGCTCAGGCACACCTCATGTCCTGGATGTCCTTACAGCAAGCAGGGGAACGTGTGTGCCTGTTTTAGGGTTCACAGCTTAGCACAACTTCTGCTTTGTTCAATCTGAAATGAGTTCCTTGTTTCCATTGCAGTGAGAGGGTCTGAAGGGCTGTACATGGTGAACGGGCCCCCCAGTTTCACAGAGAGCTCGGCCTTCCAGAGGTACTGCTGTCACTGCTCTGATCTTTCGTGCAAAAAATCCAGTTTTGTAAAAAGTAAAGGCAGATTCCGGAATTGGAAAATGTGTAAATATAGGTGAATTATTTCTTGCTGTTACTGGTTCAGGAAATTGGTGGTTTGGGAGGCTTTGTGCTCGCCTGAGGTGTGACTGCCAGGTGACAGTCCCTGAGCAGGGGCAGCAGGGACTGCAGGGCTCATCAGGGGCACAGCAGGAAATGTGCTGCTTTTTGGTTTTGTTAGAAAATCTTCACTTGGGCACTATTGACTACTCACGTGCATTTCTTATTTCTTTAGGGTCTCTGGAAAAAATTGCAAAGCTGTTGCTTTTAGCAAGGATGGCTCTCTCTTTGCCTGGTGCAATGGAGAAAAGTGGGTGCATTTAATGTTCTTAATCTTTAGTTTGTATGAAATAAATTGGATCAGTGATGCCCTGTGACTCTTTTCTGTGTAAAGGCAGTTGCTGTTAGTGCAAGTATTTGCATGCACATTTTAAATGCAGTTTATTTTTGCATTCTTCACAGTAGTGGCTTTGTTTCCCAACTCTCAGATGAAATATTTGCTGTTCTCCTGTGTATGATGCACCCATTCCTGTGTAATCTGCACGTGCTTTGTTTGTTTGGTTAGTTGTTTTTTTGTTCATAGCTCCCAGTATCTGGTTTCTGGGATGAATTAATTAGTAAAGCCCACAGGCAATAAAGACTCTGTGCACCTTATGTACCAACATGACAAGATTCCTTTTCTGTAGACCAGGCACATTTTAGAGTTCATTCTCTTCTTCAGAGCTTACAGATAAAAATACATGTTCTGTTTTGATCTGTGCTCTCACTTTTTCTGTCGTGCCTGGGTATCTGGTTTTAAAGTGTGCTCTTGCAAAAATTTAGTAAAAGCAGGAGGGGAAAAAAGCTCTTCTAATTGTGTTACACTGGCTAAATTTGGGACAGACTTAGAAGAGTGAAATACAGGAACAGTTGTCTTAGCAATTAATTAATTGTTGTAAGCATGTTTTATTGAAATAGTATCCTTTGGTTCCAGAGTAAACGTTGTTAATGTCACCAGAGCTGAGTTACTGCGTTCCTTTGATCTCCCAAAGGCAGTTTGCCTTGAATTCTCTCCAAAGAACAACGTTCTGGCCACGTGGCAGGCCTATGCAGGTGAGAACTGTGGCAGCAGGGCAGGCACCTGGTGTATGTGCACGTCTGAGGTGGGCTGGCAGCCTCTGCAGGACCTGACTGCTCTCTGCAGGACATTTACTGGCTCAATGAGCAGTACAGAAAGTGCAGGAAGGGTCTGTGGGTGATCAGGGACACGGTGGTGGAGTGAGGGATGCCATCCCACAAACACTGACTCAGAGGGCTCGTGCTGCAGTTCCTCTGAGTGAATCCCGTGTTTCCAAGCACCAGGAGCTGGTCGTGGTGCCGTGTGTGGGCAGTGTCTGTGCGGGCAGGTTGTGCTCCTGTGCACACAGGGCACATCAGACACCCTCCTGCAGGAGTTGTGTCCTCCCCTGGGTGCAGTGCCTGAAGTGTTGTCCCTGTGCAGGGCTTTGTTCCCTTCCCTGCCTCTGCAGGGGTTCAGGTTCCTGACTTGGGGAGCCCCAGTCCTGTTAGAGCAGTGTGTCTTAAGCAGACAGTGCAAATGCTGCCTGAGGAAGAGCTGGGCAAGGGCTGGGCCTTGGGAAGTGTAGGGACAGGCTGTAGGATGAGAGAAAGCAGCAGAAACTGTGAGCTGTTCAGGGTCTGTCCTGAATCCCTGACAGCCATAGACAGGCTGTGGTATCTGGGGTGAGGAGGAGGGTACAGAGAGTGTAAAAGCAGCAGAACTATTTTGCATGTCTTGCAGAGAAAGCTGTGACTTCCATGGGATGGACAAAATCACGGCACTCCCATGAGAGCAAAATGTAAGAGTGGAGAACGTGCCTCCCTTGTTTGCCACAAGGATGGGGTTTGATTTTGGTTAAAAAACAAGCATTAAAGAGCTGTGCAGGTGGTGTTGGCCCCGGCCCTGGTGGGGTGTCCTGGTGAAGCAGGTTTAATCCCCAGAGACCACGTTGTTTCCTTGCAGCTGGGAAGGATGGCACGGCGGGGGTGCCCAACCTGCAGCTCCATGATCTGAGAACCGGAAAATGCCTCAAGTCCTTCATCCAGAAAAAGATGCAGAACTGGTAAATAACCCTTCCAGATGCTAATTGTTTGCAAAGAAATTCAGTTTCCAAAGTCTGATCCAGGTAAATGGAGCTGTTTTTGCAGTGTTGGCTTTCAGAGCAGTGCCTGCTGCTGGCTGAAGGCCAGGCTGGGCTGTGAGTGTTGGTGTGCAGCTCATTGTTCTTCACCCTCCTTTTGCACCACAGACAGAGCCAGGCAGGCAATAACTAAGTCCACTTGCATTTTTTTTGCTATGCAGATGTTATTTGTCCATATGAAACATATCGTATTAGACCTTGCTGGGCTTTAGAAAGGGAGGGGAAAAACAATCCTGGAGTGCTAAAGATGAGCATGAGTTAGTGTTTCTGACTTTTCCTTTGAATTGCAGGTGTCCTTGCTGGGCAGATGATGAGAGCATTTGTGCCAGGAATGTGAACAATGAAGTGCACTTCTTTGAAAACAACAACTTCAGTACGCGACTATTTCTCTACATTTCATTCATTCTATAAATGCTGCTTCTTTTGGGGGGTGGGGTTTTTTTTCAAGTTTTTCCTTGTTTCTTGTTTGCTTGCCTTATATTTTAAATATTGCCTACATTCTATTTGAATTTGGAATTCAGAATCATTATGCTTTACTGAACTGTGTTTTCAGTTATTTATCTTTTCACTGCCAAATGTGGTATGAAATGCATCTGATTTTCAGTTAAAGAGGCTTGATTCTATATTCTTTCTCATGTAATGAGATCCAGGAAATTGTCAGTAGAGAATGTGATCTGTGATTACTTCTTTGGGTTGTGTGTGTTCTGTCAATAAACTGTTAAAAAATGGCTTGTTAAAAAATTTGTATCAATGGCAAATATGAAGTAGCGAAGCCTGAAAATTTTTACCAAGGAGATTTAATACTGGTGGTAGAATATTTGGAGTCAATAGAAGTCAGAAAGGGAACAGGGAGGAAAAAAGTAGGGGGTTAAAAATGAATTAGAACAAAGCCGTAAAGGAATTAAAGAAAACTGAGGGGAGAACAGTGTGTGGTTTTGTGCTCTTTGTTTTGAATGTAAAGCTGATACAAGAATTCCAGCTGTAAGAGAGAGGGTTTCCCCAGAATTAGCCCTGCTGCTGTTAGCGAAGCTGTGGGAAGCAGGGAATGTCAGTCTCAGCAGGAGTTCTGCTGGCAGTGCACATTCCTGGCTGCAGTGGGGCTCTGGGGTGCTGCTCTTCCCAGCAGTTGTTTGTGGAAAGAATTCAGCCAAGACCAGGCCTCTGAGTGCTTCCTGTGGGGAAGGTGTGAGGGGAGAGCCCCTGTCTCTGTAGTTGTAGATGTTCCCTGGGTGTGACTGAAGCCAGCATAGATAAGGTGAAGAACACCTGCTTTAAGCACAAGTGTTCACTTGGGATTTGCAGGCTTCCTGTGCTGTTTGAACTTCCAAATACTAAATACTGGGCTTCAGACCTAGGCTTGCTTCAAGTTGGTTTTGTAAATAAAACTGTGATGAAACAGAAAAGTAATGTTTGTTTGCCTAGTAAAAGAACTCCTTTATGGTTACCCTCACTGATCTGTGTTATGCAGGGTACAGCCCCATAGAAGGGTGTGGTTAGGTCATCCAGGTAATGTGGTTTGTCATTAACATCACACATCTGTGGCCTTTTTCTTGGCAGACACCATTGCAAACAAGCTGCACTTACAGAAGGTCAGTGATTTTGTGTTGTCCCCAGGAGCACAGCCAACCAAGGTACTTCTGATCCCACTTCCAATCTTTTTCTTGCTTTTCTTAAAAAAAAACTGACTGTGATGTTAATAGAACAGAGTGGTAGTACCTGTGAGCTGTGCTTTGAGCTGCAGTGAGCTCTGGTGGCTGTTGCAGGTCGCTGTGTATGTCCCGGGCAGCAAAGGGGCCCCGTCCTTCGTGCGGCTCTACCAGTACCCCAACTTCGGGGGCCCGCAGTCGGCGCTGGCCAACAAGAGCTTCTTCAAGGCTGACAGGGTGACGATGCTGTGGAACAAAAAAGGTACAACAGCTGGGTATTGGAACTGTTATATTCAAGGCTGACAGGGTGACAATGCTGTGGAACAAAAAAGGTACAACAGCTGGGTAGTGGAACTTTTATGTTCGGCCCGTTTTGGATTGTATTCCTTTGTTTACTGTGGGAGGTTTGCGTTTAATTTGCATATGCAGATAAGCCCTGAGGACAGCCATTAATGCCAGCACAGTGTTAAGATGCAGTTCTGCCCGCCCTGGAGTGCTCAGCACTTTCCTGTGACTGTCATGATTTTGTATGTTGTAACTGAGAGTGTTCTTTCTATACATGCTGGTAAATCTTGCAGTTGAACAGCAAATTCCTATATAAATTTGCATTCTGTGTTGATAGTGTATTTAGATTGTAAATATAAGACCAGTTTATGCTCTGGTATAATCTTAGTCTGTAGAATTGTACATATGCAGACGTGTCACAACTGGAATGAGCTGACAGGGCTCTGTGCTTTGCTGTTTGTTAGCAACAAGCTGTTTCAGAGTAATTTTGTAAAAACCACTTTACTTCAACCCACATAGTTTGTAATACAGGGGAGGTGTTACACACATGTGGAAACCATGCCTGAGCACATGGCTTTGGATACAGATGTGCAAACAGCAGCTGTTGGTGGAACACGTTATTCAAGGGCTGATCAGGAGGTTTGGTTTCTATCTTAGAAATATTATTTTTATGTCTGCAAAGTACATTCACTGGCTTGTGATCCAACAGTGAATGAATAGATGGAGCTTACACTTTCCATCTGGTCCATTTGGGTTAACATTAGGACAGACTCAGTGCAGAATGATACCAGCACTGTTACACAGGGAACCAGCTAGAATTCCTAGCAGAGCAATTGCCCTTTGTGCAGTGCAGTGTGTGCAGGGTGGTTTGTGCAGTGGCTGGGGTGGTTTGCAGAGCTGTGCTGCACTCACTGTGTCTGTGCAGTGGCTGGGGTGGTTTGCAG